TTTCCGCCCCTTCTGCCCCCTCCCCCCGACTCCTATTCTAACATTCACACTAAGGGGCATATTTATTTGAATACGCACTAAGAGGCATATAAACCAATTTCCTCTGATGAGTTAGCTAATTGATTTTGCAAGGTAGTCAAATCTTATTCCTTTCGATGATATGGATATTGGCATTGATATTAAGCCTACTTTCAACTCACATATTGGCAAAATCTTATTCTCTAATATTAATTTAATGCAGGACATCTTAAGGTCAAGGATCACTAATCCAACTAGTAATACAAGGGATAAAATTTCACATCAATTGAATTTAGAAACATGCAATTTCAAAAATGACCAATTAAAACAAGAAATAATTTCCTTTTATTGTAAGCAAAAAAAAAAAACACTAGTAATCCATGCCAAATGATAATTTTACAATAGCCAATATCAAAGAAATTTAATGAGAAAATCAAAACTATAAATAAAACTTGATCACAATTCACAACACACTAAGAAAGTTATAATATCAAATTTTGAAGAAGAAAATAAGGTAAGGTAAGAAACCATCAAATAAAAATGAAATAAAAATAAAAATAAAAAAAACCAAGCTCATAACCATACAAAGAGAGTTGGTAGTAGCACTTGCATTGCACTCAAATGAATCAACATTTAACCAGATGCACGGAAGACTAATACATGCCTCATGTTATATAATTATAAATCAAATCCAAGTAGAAAGCCTCTGAAATTTGTCATGTTCAGTCACACTTAAATCACTATACAGGTGCAAGCTCCAATCAACCCTCAAAAAACATTCCCGATAAAGCTATTCACTGCATCTAAGTAACATAAAAAAGATTAAATCAAAATTTGACTTCTAACACGCTACAGGACCACTAAGGCTATGGGCACCAAAAGCTTTAGAAACCACAAATAACTACAGGAACCAGGCTCAAAAATCGCATATAAGGCTAAAGGGATCAGACAAGCCTGCACCATCCAAACAGGCCTCCAAATGCTGTTACAGGGAACAAATTTAAGCATATAAAATAGCATATGAATAGAATTGAAATTTATCCACAGGATCACAAAATCAGCTAGCAACAGCAACATAACCAAACCAATCAATTAAACCAAACCAAAACCAATGGTTAAGCAAGCCAAAGACAACATAAGAAAGAAAGCATCACAACAAAAATTAAACAGCTACACAGATATTTAAAATTTATAAAATTGAACCAAAACATAATGAAACTAAACGAAAACATCGCTTGAATCATTTATTTGCTTGATATTTCATTGAAGTTTAAACTTGCAGATTGCCATCAACAGGACTCGGCATGACTCATGCGTACAACATAGAGCATTTTACATCTTGATAATCGAAGGAAGTATCAAAAGAGCAATCTTACATTGTCATCCATACCATCGAGCAGGTAATGATAGTATTGGTAAGACCCATCAACCAAGGAAACAATGCCTTCAAAAACTATAACAATACACTCAGTTGATCAGACATTTTAGAAATTCCAACACAGAAGAAGAAATTTTAAATTAGAAAACTAACCACCACTAACTGGAATCTGGGTATGTACATTTTTAAGATATGGATAACCTGTAAATAATCCTTTTAATTAGACATCAGAGAGCAAGAAAATGCAAACAGCAGTTACAACTACATTTCGAGCACGCCACATGTTAAAAGTTAGGAGGATACCAATTCTCATTAAGTTGTCGGCTTCTGTGTCAAACGATAACGCATTAGCAATCCGCAAGAGAGGGCGATCCAAAGATAATCCAAGTCGTGAATGCAAAGACCTCCTAAGTTCACCTATAAGCCGAAAAAATACTATGAAATCGTTAAAATGTAGAAAAAACTGGAGGTTTGTCCGTATAAAATTGTACAATTCTTTACCCAAAATGAGGAAAACCAAGGATAATGCATTCTAACTTACGCTGCCCCACTTCATTTTCTCCGTATCTGAGATCATATATAGCAGTTATAGGATGTAAAATGCCTGGGGGCAGAAAGTGATAGGTCTTTAGCTGCAAAAAAGGAACATTTATACGATTAAAAATCTGACGCACGTAAAACGTTTTTTGCAAGAGAAAATACCATATAATCAGAATTAAAGAGAAAGTACAAGTCATTAGGTTTCGATGTCTTGCTTATATAGAATATAAAAAAAATCTGATATCGTATAGTACACCGTAAAACAATATAATTATATGCAGTTACAATTCGTACCCTCAAATATACAATACTCTACATTAGACAATGGTAAATTTCTATAAATGTCCCTGGGCCTTGCTTTGAATATAGATATGAATCAGAATAACTGCCAAGTATTAACTCGTTTTAGATAGGTATTTTATAAAAATGTGGCCCTGTGCTGTCAATTTACAAAAAAGTTCATTAGTTTCTTAGTAGATTTTAATAAGAAACATATAAACGGTGTTTAACAGAAGTGAGAAGCCTATGTGAAATATTTCACTCCGATGAGGCCATTTAATGACTTCCAAAATAGTCAAGACACCATATAGGTGGAGCTATTTCAACATCAAAACAGGCTAAAGAAACCCTGTTATAAATAAAGTGCCATGATATACATATTAAGAACTACTGAGCTCACTTGAAATGCAATCATAACAAATAAATTTACAAGACATACAGAACTGGAAATTACTCCAACAAAATGATCAAAATAATAAGATATAAAAGGAATTAAAATGTAACTAATTATAATTTACATCAATGGACTGTACAGCTAAACTAGAATCCATAGTCCCAACCTAAATTGGACTAGAAAGAGCACTGAATCCACCAATACAAATTTGACCAAATGATCCATCAGAATAACTATCAAGGACAAAATCATCATGTATAATGATTTAATAATTACTGAAGGAAGTCATTTTCTCAAGATGTCTATAAAACTAAGGTAAAATCACTATGCAATGTCCACATCCGTTGAAAGTGAAATGACCAAGGTTAATTTGATGCAAAATTTCTAAAAAATTGAACACCTCTGCTACCCTCAACATCAATACCACTCATCTCAAGAGTTTAAATTATTCCCTATCTTATTTATCATTATATGCATCTGAACACTGATATTTATTTCACGATTTATCCCCATCCCAGAGATAGCATGCATCAAATGAAACCCAACACATTTGATTGTCAAAATCCAAGGCCTGTACACAAGGTTACGAGCATCAAGAGTTATTGTTCCTGAATAAAACCCTAACAGATAAAAAATTAAAGAGTACCAACAATCAAGTTTTGATTTAAAGCATAATTACTAAATCACCCTCTCCCGCCTCTTGTTAGATCCTGAATGCAAATCTATAAGTGCACATACTAGATAGCTCCCATAAATGCCCTGCTAGCATCATTACAAACTCGAAAAGGGCCTCATTTTGACCCAAAAAAAATGGTTAAATTGATCTTCACGCCAAGTGATAAAATCCTCCAAGCTGATCGATGGTTTGGAAATGCTTCCACAAGAATTAAAGTTTGCTGAAAGACATCATCAAACACTTGTGGCCACCACTAGCATTGACTAATAAACATGCTGATCGGAATTTCTTTCACAAATAATGGATTGAGTTATGAAAATAAGCTCTCTGCAATGTAAGATTTGAGTCATGAATTGTGAAACCCCTTAAGTAGATTAAAACTAAACCATAAAACATTGAGGTGTCTTTTGATTAAACAGTTAGAATTTCATTAGAAACTCCAAAGTTAAGCATGCTCGCAAGGGAGCATTCGTGAGATGGGCGACCTCCTGAGAAGTTACACCAACAACAACAGCAACAAAGCCTTAATCCCACTACGTAGGGTCGGCTATATGAATCCTTTTTCTCCATTGCGTCCCCTATTTAGTGTCAAATTTTAATTTACTTCTAATAAATTAAGATCATTTTTTTTTACAATAAGCCCAAGTCTTCCTAGGTCTACCTCTGCCTTTCTTAACATAAGTCGAATCTAAAACATCTACTCTCCTAATCGGATCATCAGATGGTCAACATTTAATATGAATAAACCATCTAAAACGACTCTCTAATTTTGCCCGTCACTGGAGCTACACCAACCCTATCACGGATATATTCAATTCGCATTTTGTCTCTAAGTGTAAAGCCACTCATCCACCTAATCATTCTCATCTCTACAAAACTTAACTTAGTATTATGCATCTCTTTTAAAGGCCAACATTCAACGGCATACAGCATTGCAGGTCGCATCACTATCTTATAAAAATTTCCTTTCAGTCTAAGCAGTACTCCTGAGAAGTCACACCAACAAGGCCAAAGAAGACAATATCATGAGGGGTGAGACCGGGCTGCTACAAATGGTATCAGAGCATTGCAAACCAGAAGATGGAAACTAAGTGACATAAAGAATAAAATGCTATGCCATGGGAGCCACCTCTTAAACCCAAGATGAGACGAAGTGCTAGATGGTGGGAGCCACCTATTGCATCGGTAGGGGCCACCACTAGAATCTTATATGCTTGGCGGATGATTACAGATTTAGAGCACTAATGAGGACGTCAGTTACCTAGTGTAAGAGATTGCGAAATCACTTAAGTTGAAGATGTACTCTTAACATCAATGAATATTTTTGGTGTAACAGTTAAAATTTCATTAGAAACTCAAAAGTTAAGTGTGCTCGCAAAGAAGCATTCTTAAAATGGGTGATCTCCTGGGATGTTACACCGACATGACAAAGTTGTGAGGCCAATAAGCCAAAGTATTCAACGTCTCAGCGGGTGAAAGTTTGGGCTATTACATGTACATAACAAACCTACAATGTAAGAGCCAAACTATATATATGAATCCCACCTTGAAACTCATTACTAAGGCTTTAGAAATTAATATTAGAAAAGATTAATAATTCGTTTGGAAACTACCTCTATGGAATTGTATATAAATTGGCAATGTCCTCCAACACCACAAATGTCACCTTCTCTTTGCCTCCCACTTTTCACCAAAAACTAAAGAGAGATTTTGAGGCGGAGAGTCTTGTCGTGATCCGGGTTAAGTGTGGTCGAATCATGAGTTCAAGTTGATAAGAGCATTTTCATCCATTTACATATATTAGATTTAGGGTTTGAGATTGGTCTTGTATTGTATTAAGGGGATTTTTGGAATGAAGAGAAATATGTGAGAGCTTTGGGCTCTGTAGGTTCTTAGATGGGAATGTGTGCATCCACAGCATCAGGTGGTGGCAACTGTATCCCTTCATAATTGGTGGTGACATATCGGGTTTCCTTCCTTCGTCAATCCTTTGAATGGTGATTTTTGTATTTCGATCGATTAGGAAAGTAGAAAACTCTTGTATCTTGTATCTTTATTTGATTATCACAACTGCTTTCCAGCTTTTTCTTGTTTCTGATTTCTGTTCTTCATGTTTTATATCTATTTTCTTGTCGATGTACCTATTTTCTTTATTATGTTATTGTTGGATTTTGCACCTATATCTAGTGCCGCTATCATTTTGGTGTCAAATATAAAGGTTTTTTATTCCAATTCATACTTTCTTTCCATAAAAAGCAACATTCATGTTGCCTGTTGTTTCCTGGGTATTCAGCTTTTCTGTTTGATGTTGTTCTTGTTATTTTCCTTATTCCAGACTGTGGGTTTTCTGCTCCCTACATCGTTTTATTTCCCTTCTTTGTTGTCCTGTGATTCATGAATCCTGTCTTGGCATTTTTGCATTTTTGTGTTTTTTTTTTT